GTTTTGGTATCAGGGTGATGGTGGCCTCATAGAATGAGTTTGGGAGTGTTCCTTTCTCTGCAACTGTTTGGAAGGTTTGAGAAGGATGGGTGTTAGCTCTTCTCTAAATGTTTGATAGAATTCACCTGTGAAGCCATCTGGTCCTGGACTGTTGTTTGTTGGAAGATTTTTAATCATGGTTTCAATTTCATTACTTGTGATTGATCTGTTCATATTTTCTAGTTTTTCCTGGTTCAGTCTTAGAAGGTTTTACCTTTCTAAGGATTGTCCATTTCTTCCAGGTTGTCCATTTGATTGGCATAGAGCTGCTTGTAGTAGTCTCTTATGCTGCTTTGTATTTCTGCAGTGTCTGTTTTAAGTTCTCCTCTTTCCTTTCTAATTTTATTGATTTGAGTCCTCTCCCTCTTTTTCTTGATGAGTCTGGCTAAAGGTTTATCAATTTTGTTTATCTTCTCAAAGAACCAGCTTTTAGTTTTATTTATCTTTGGTATTGTTTTGTTTCTGTTTCACTTCTTTTATTTATTTATTTATTTATTTATTTATTTATTTATTTATGGCTGTGTTGTGTCTTCGTTGCTGTGCAGGCTTTCTCTAGTTGTGGTGAGCGGGGGCTACTCTTCGTTGTGGTCTGCAGGCTTCTCATTGTTGTGGCTTCTCTTGTTGCAGAGCACAGGCTCTAGGCACACAGGCTTCAGTAGTTCTGGCACATGGGCTCAGTACTTGTGGCTTGTGGGCTCTAGAGCTCAGGCTCTGTAGTTGTGGCGCCGGGGCTTAGTTGCTCCGTGGCATGTGGGATCTTCCCGGGCCAGGGCTTGAACCTGTGTACCCTGCCTTGGCAGGCAGATTCTTGACCACTGTGCCACCAGGTAATCCCTACTTCATTTATTTCTGCTCTGATCTTTATGATTTCTTTCCTTCTACTAACTTTGGGTTTTGTTTGTTCTTCTTTCTCTAGTTCCTTTAGGTGTAAGGTTAGATTGTTTAGCTGAGATTTTTCTTGTTTCTTGAGGTAGGCTTGTATTGCTATAAACTTACCTCTTAGAACTGCTTTTGCTGCACCCCCTAGGTTTTGGATCATCATGTTTTCATTGTCATTTGTCTCTAGGTATTTTTTGATTTCCTCTTTGATTTCTTCAGTGATCTCTTGGTTAGTTAGTAACGTATTGTTTAGCCTCCATATGTTTGTGTTTTTTACGTTTTTTCCCCTGTAATTGATTTCTAATCTCATAGCATTGTGGTCAGAAAGATGCTTGATATGATTTCAATTTTCTTAAATATACTGAGGCTTGATTTATGACCCTAGATGTGATCAATCCTGGAGAATGTTCCGTGTGCACTTGAGAAGAAAGTGTAATCTGCTGTTTTTGGATGGAATGTCCTGTAAATATCAATTAAATGTTTCTGGTCTATTGTGTCATTTAAAGCTTGTGTTTCCTTATTAATTTTCTGTCTGGATGATCAGTCCATTGATGTAAGTGAGATGTTGAAGTCCCCCACTATTATTGTGTTACTCTCGATTTCCTCTTTTATAGCTGTTAGTAGTTGCCTTATGTATTGAGGTGCTCCTATGTTGGGTGCATACATATTTATAATTGTTATATCTTCTTCTTGGATTGATTCCTTGATCATATGTAGTGTCCTTCCTTGTCTCTTGTAACATCCTTTATTTTAAAGTCTATTTTGTCTGATATGAGTATTGCTACTCCAGCTTTCTTTTGATTTCTGTTTGCATGGAATATCTTTTTCCATCCCCTCACTTTGTTTGTATGTGTCCCTAGGTCTGAAGTGGGCCTCTTTTAGACAGCATATATATGGGTCTTGTTTTTGTATCCATTCAGCGAGCCTGTGTCTTTTGGTTGGAGCATTTAATCCATTTACGTTTAAGGTAATGATCGATATGTATGTTCCTTTTACCATTTTCTTAATTGTCATGGGTTTGTTTTTGTAGGTCCTTTTCTTATCTTGTGTTCCCACTTAGAGAAGTTCGTTTAGCATTTGTTGTAGAGCTGGTTTGGTGGTGCTGAATTCTCTTAGCTCTTGCTTGTCTGTAAAGATTTTGATTTCTCTGTCAAATCTGAATGAGATCCTTGCCAGTTAGAGCAATCTTGGTTGTAGGTTCTTCCCTTTCATCACTTTAAATATATTGTGCCACTCCCTTCTGGCTTGTAGAGTTTCTGCTGAGAAATCAGCTGTTAACCTTATGGGAGTTCCCTTGTATGTTATTTGTCATTTTTCCCTTGTTGCTTTTAATAATTCTTCTTTAATTTTTGTCAGTTTGATTACTATGTGTCTTGGCATGTTTCTCCTTGGGTTTATATTGCCTGGGACTCTCTGTGCTTCCTGGACTTGGGTGGCTATTTCCTTTCCCATGTTAGGGAATTTTTCGACAATAATCTCTTCAAATATTTTCTTGGGTCCTTTCTCTCTCTCTTCTCCTTCTGGGACCCCTACAATGTGAATATTGTTGCATTTAATGTTGTCCCAGAGGCCTCTTAGGCTGTCTTCATTTCTTTTCATTCTTATTTTCTTTATTCTGTTCCATGGCAGTGAATTCTACCACTCTGTCTTCCAGGTCACTTATCCGTTCTTCTCCCTCAGTTATGCTGCTATTGATTCCTTCTAGTGTATCTTTCACTTCAGTTATTGTATTGTTCATCTCTGTTTGTTTTTAATTCTTCTAGGTGTTTATTCTTTAATTTTTCTAGGTCTTTGTTAAACATTTCTTGCGTCTTCTCAATCTTTGCTTCCATTCTTTTTCCAAGGTCCTGGATCATTTTCAGTGTCATTATTCTGAATTCTTTTTCTGGGAGGTTGCCTATCTCCACATCATTTAGTTGTTTTCCTGTGATTTCATCTTGTTCCTTCTTCTGGTACATAGTCCTCTCCCTTTTCATTTTGTCTATCTTTCTGTGAATGTGGCTTTCCTTCCACAGGCTGCAGAATTGTATTTCTCCTTGCTTCTGCTGTCTGCCCTCTGATGGATGACGCTATCTAAGAGGCTTGTGCAAGCTTCCTGTTGGGAGGGACTGGTGGTGGGTAGCTACTCTATTTTTAAGATATCTATTTTTAGTTGTATAATTTTATGATGTGTCTTTGTTTTATTATTTATCTATGAATGACAATTTTGCATGAATATTTTAGAAATTAGGCAAGCAACAGAAACTTCTTGTTTCTTCCTTAGCAACTATTAATATAAATAGACTTCACAAATGAAATTGTAAATAGTCAGTATCCCTCCACACATCCAGAGCACAACTGCTAATCATCTCAACATGAGGCTATTGCTCTCCTCCAAGTACTGATTACTGTAGCCCATCCCACCCCCCTATCCCATGCTGCTATTGAGGAGCATGATATATTATGGGTATATAACTTAAAAACAAAGGTGGAGGCTTAAGTGGCATAATACAGAAATGTTATGTGTTCTGACAAAGTAAAAATAAAACAACTAAAAGTGTGGAGGAGTAGGGAGAGGGAATTAGGAATGTAGAATAAATAAACTCTTTGATGTTCAGTGGGTAGGTGGGAATTAAAGAATACTGGTTTAAGGAGTGGCTTTACAAGATACCCAGTTTAAGGTTGGTCTGATTTGACAGTGTTGCAAGGTACAGTCTCTTTAATGGATGATTTTTTTTTTTAATGTGGTGGGAAGGTTGTGTCCTCTACTTTTTAAGAAATAGGAACCTGACTTTTGCCTTTACTTCTTCTTTTTTCCCTTTACCACCCCAGTCTCCAAAGGCTACCTCTCCCTTCCTTTGTACCATCTTCTCCTGGAAAACTAATGCTTTTCAGAGCCTTGAATCGTGCCCACCTTTAAGTCCTTTCTGTGTAGTTAGTGCTCTTATGTACCAGGACCCCACACTTGGGTTGAACTTTCTCTTTCTAGTGGTAACTTTAGATCAATCTTAGATTTCCCCTCATCTTTCTTCAATGCAGTTTTTTTTTTTGGCTTGAGAGGGGAGTGTGAGAGAGTGCTCACTGACTTGGTGTTTAATACTTTAGAGTAATTGAAGTTTGGGCATTCTCTGACTTCTGGCTATGCTAAGTGGGGATTGGTATAGTTTTATTTGTCGTTGTTCTGTAGTGTTTTTGAAGATGTGTGGGGAGATTCCAAATCAGGCAATCTTCTCTATCTTCAGCTTTATTTTTATTAGAAATTATCTAGTTGGAAATTAGCCTTTAGAATATGTGAGAATGAAACCTTACTCATGGATCATTCAGGTGTTAAGCCTGAAATTTTCATTTGTTTAGATATTGATTACATTTTTACAGTGGTTTAGAAATGTTATTGGTTTATTTAACTCAACTTTCAAATACTTGTTTAAAATAATATACTGCCTCTAAATGTTGTTATAAATAAATTCTGGAAGTATTCAAGGCTAATATAAATGGTTACAACAAAAATACTCACCTTTTATGCATTTATTAATTGAAGAATGGGGTGAGGGGAGGGACAAGATAGGGGAAGGAGATTAAGAGGTAGACTATTAGGTATAAAATAATTAAGATACAAGGGTGTAACGTACAGCACAGGGAATATAACCAGTATTTTATAGTAACGTTAAATGGAGTATAATCAATAAAAATATATGTTGTACACCTGAAACTAATATAACATTATATATCAACTATACTTCAATTTTAAAAAGTTTAATTGAAGAATATTTTATTCAGTTGTGAGACTTTTTCAATGCTCTTAGAGGTCCCAGACAATTCTTTAAAACTCCAAATTTACACTAACCATACATTTAGGATATAAATTGTTTGTATTGTGACTTTTCTAAGTAAATAATAGGAAGCTTTTAAAAATTAATCACATGTTCCTGAGATTGTGATTTCATTTTTAGTGCAAAGTGTTTTTGGAGGAGGTAGCGTAGAAAATGTTTCCTTTGCATTTCCAATAGCCTGCAGGAAAACAGATGGTTACAATATTAGGAAGCAGCTATAAAATTTTGTTTGCCAAGAAGGAAATGATACTAGCTACCGCTTTCCCTGTGCAGGCTGCTATTACTCTTCCACGAAGACCTTTCCTTCACTGTTCTACTGTGATACCCGCTGTGGTTCTGACCCTGAAGTTTACGATGCACCTTTTCAAGCTCAAAGATTCATGGTGCTTTCTTCCCTGGATGTTATTTATATCCTGGACCTCACACCATGTTCGAGATGGAATTCGCCATGGCTTGTGGATATGCCCATTTGGAGAAACTTCTCCTTTGCCATTTTGGCTTTATGTAATAATCACATCATCTTTACCTCACATCTGTTCATTCGTTATGTATTTCACAGGGACAAGCCAAGTGATGTCTTCAAAACATGGAAATTATATTCATGTCTGAGATAACCATATGGCAGTCTTAAAGAACCAATGGTTGAGATAATGACAGCCAACATTAAAGTGAATTTTTAAAACATGTTAGGTACTTATATTAATTATAAGATGTATAATGAATGCTAACATTTCTTTATTTCATATATTTTGATCCTGACTGAAGTTTAATTTGCCAGGTGCTTTAGTGAGTTGTGATTACTGGCAGATACTGCTTTTGTGCACTTATGTTATAATATTCTTAAAAGACAGTAACATTAGACCTAGGTTATTGTTTCAGAAATAACTTTAGGAAATAATTATTATAATATGTTGACTGTAGTAACATTCTACCAAAGTAGTATTTTTTCATTAACTTTGCCCTCAAATCTCATGTGTTGGAGTTTTAACTCTTTTGAAAAACATAACTAAATTTAACAAAATATTTGTTTAACATTAACAAAATATTGATACTTGACTCATAACCATAAAATCCACAAAAAAGGTCCTAACCAATAATGTCATTTCAAATGTAAACTCCTGAATGTGCCATTAAAATTGTTTTAGTTGCTATCAATTTGTTTACATACTATTCTAAAATATTATACCAGTTAAATCATTTTTTAAAAATTTGCCTGATACTAAGAGACAAAACAATTTTTTTTCAAAAAAGTAGTTTTAGGAAATTGGCTTTTTCCTTTGTTCTTTCAGTTTGATCTTCTGTTAAAAATGATTAACCTTTATTAGCGAAGGAAAATTGAGTTGCTGTAAGTTTTACATTTGCACAGTTTAATATACTTTGATATAACAATCAGTGCCCCAAAGGCACCTGTTTTTTGGTAGCATTTGTACCAGCTGCTGTCTTCAGATTTTCTTACACATTTGTGTTTGTAATGCTGGTGATTGTGTGCCTTAATCTCTGAGAAGTGATGAAACAGTGCCTTATCCAAAGCAGATTTTTCTCATTAAGTTAAACAGAGTTCTGTAAACTGTTATAAAGGGTCAGCCTCTTTACTTTTTGTTGTTAACCAATTGGTTGCAATCTGTTATATTTTATAATTTATTAGCTCTTACAATGTGTTATTGTCTTTTGAGAGCAATTATTGTCAATTTAGTTGGTTTAATAGTAAACATTATATAGTGGGGGTAAATTTGATTAAGGTAGAGATTTTTAAAAAGCATATGATTTTAGAAGTCCCTAGAAATAAAGCATATATGTTGTGTAACTCTTTCTGGCTAAATCACAAAACTCTCCCTTTTTTTCTTTCTCCTTATTAAACAAATGAATATCATAAAAATATACGGCCTTACTTAAGAATGTCACATTGACATTTTGGGGGTTGTCCTAACTTTATTAGAATGGGAACTCACTTTGACCATGAGTTTTTGCTTAAACAATAACTGCAAATTTTAAGTGTGGGTTTATCTTTATCTTTGTTCCTACCTCATCAGAAATGTTCCTTGTCCTCTAAGTGGTCTCTGAAAGCTGTAGTTGTAACCTCTAGAGATATAGTAACCAACTTTCCATGCCGCCATTTTGTCCCTTTTCTTAGAGAAAGAGTTTGATTCAATACAACTTATGTTGAAAGTTGGATTGTATCTTCTTTGCAAGTGTGTGTTTTCTCCATTCTCCAGACGTCCTCCTTTCACTTAGTGTTCTCTCTTGGCTGTTTCACTGATCTGACCTCCCGATCTACTGTTTTCTTGAGCCATGTTCATTATGCTGGCTACTCAGGAGAACTTCCACCACTGAACTATTTTCTACTCATCCCAAGCCTACTTTCTTTTAGTGGTGGGCTAAGAACCCCAGTTGTGTATGGGTTAAAACTCCCATTTATCCTCACCTCCTTTCTTTAACTTAGACATCTCTTCTCCCAGGAAGCCACCCTCTTTCTCCCAATCAGACACATACTTCTTGGCTCCTTTCTCTTTTGGCTGGTGGAACAATTACTTTGTTTTTCCCATTTTTCCCAACTGAAGGGGAGAGGAATAGGGGCTATTCTGGTACTTGCTCACCACTGTCACAGCTAAACCATTTATCCATCACAATTCTATCTTCTTCCTTTGATATCTCATTATTTGTTCCAAATCCACTTCACCCTCACATACTACCCTCTAAGACTCAGTTTCACCTTCTTTGATGATATGGGCAACTGGATCACTTTTTTCCTTTTATTCTAACCCTTGATTTTATCCTCAGTCATCAGATGACTCACCTGAAATCGGGACTTCAGTATCCCCTCTTCTTCTGTACCACTAACTCTCATCACATCATATCAGCCATCCACCAGCAGAGTAGGCCTCTGTACCTCCTTTGTAGGTGACACTGCTCATCTAGGAGAGCTCCAACTTTGTTTCCTTTTTCTAAACCAGTAGTTCTCAAACTGACATACATCAGAATCACCTATAAGGCTTGTTAAAACAGGGATTGCTTGAGGCCCACCCCAGAATTTTGACTTGGTACGTCCTGAGAATTTGCATTTTCAGCAAGGTCCCAATTGATATTGATGCTGCTGTTCAGGAACCATCCTTTAAGAGCCACTGCTCTAGACACATCCTGTTTAACTTCATTTTTCTCCCCTCCCTTCTCTTCATTGAGCCAACTCTTTGCCTTACTGATATGTTTACTTTTTCTTAACCTTCCTTTGTCAGCAGGTCCACCAGCCCACTTCTGGGTACATTTAATTCTGTCCTGGCTCCACATATGCGGTGCGTAAGTTACTATGTCAATACCCTAATACCCCAGACTTTCTTGTGTGCTATCCAATTAGCCAACCCAGAATAATCCATAGCCTGCTTTCCCTAGTTCTCCTTTAGATCACATGTCTTTAAAGTAGTTATGGATCCATGCTGACTTGGCCTACTACAATTCATACTATCTAACTTTGACTGGGTACTTAATAATACTTTGCTCGCTGCCAAACAATTTTTTCCCAAATATTGTACTAGACAGACAAGCTGAGCCTCAGAATACCTGCCCATGTTAGATCCAGCCACAAGCCAGGAAGCTCACAGCATTTCACTGATCTGAGAAACTCTTGTTAATAATCAATCTCCACAGTTACTTTGCACTTTGCATAAATCCAAAGCATTGCCACATGCGTCCCTTGGCATTTCTTTACTTCCCAGGGATCATGATAATAATCAAAGGGTTTCTGAAGCATATTACCCTTTTGACTGATCTTGCAAGGAGTTATTTGGCTTATATACCCAGCAGCACTAATTAACGCTGCTTCAAGGTTTGGGCAGCCTTCCAATTCCATCGGCCCCATGATGGCCTGAAAAGGAGGGGAATGTCAGATTAGGGCTCTAACACTCTGATATTCCTCAAATACCTGTGTGAGCTCGCAAAGAAAGCACCCATCTGAATTCACACATCCTTACTCATTCAATATTCATTTGACTTAATGTAAGCACTGTCCAGGTTCTCAGATTAGCAATATTGATACCATGCACATAAAGTGGAAGTCAGAGAAAACTTTCCATAAATGTCTGGGTGATGTTAAATAAAGTGTAAAAATGTGGTATAGTGGTTACATAACAGACCACATACAGGGGTGGCATATCTAAATGACAGTGGTCATAACCTCGCTACCCTGAGCTATTTCACGCAATCACAGGGAGTAATTGGAGCTTTTTGAAGTTTCATAAGAGATCCTATCAGGACCACAATGTATGCGGCAGAGGCCCTGCTCTTGGAAAGCCATGTGTAAATACCATATTTCCCTCTTCCTGGAGCTCCGTGACTGTTTGCCCAGAGTCAATAACAATAGTCTCTCAGAGTTAGGCCTGTTCCATGGCCAGCAAAGACTGTGTCGTTTCTCTAGATTCTAAACTGATTGGCACAAGGCTGCCTTTGGTCAATCTGGACTCACAAAATGTTGCACGAGCCCCAGGCCAATCTTTCTGGAAAGGGCTCTGCCATTTCTAGGGTGTGAGACCCAGAGCAAATCACTCCGCAAGCCCTCTGCTCCCACCTCGACATATCAACCCAAGTGAGATGGGATTAGATAACTCCCACAAGATCTCTAAAGGGTAAGAACACTACAGAAGAGTGAGAAGAAATTATGGACAAGAGATGGGAAGCCTGCCTATTTGGCCTGCTTACAGTGTGTGTAGCCTACATTACTCTTCTCTTGATGCTGTAACAAATTACTGTAACTCAGTGGTTTGAAACAAATGTATTATCTTACTGTTGTGTATGTCAGAAATCCCACACAGGTCTCACTGGGCTAAAAATCAAGACATCAGCAGGGATGCCTTCCACCTGGAGGCTCTAGGGGAGGCTCAGCTTCCTTGCCTCTTTCAGCTTCTAGTTGCCGCCTGCAATCCTTGGCTTGTGGTGCCCTTATTCCATCTGCAATGGCAGGTCAGCTTCCTTTTCACATTTCATCTTTCTGATCCTCCATCCATAGTCCCTTCCCCCTCTGACCACAGCTGGGGAAGATTCTCCGCTCTAAGGGCCCATGTGATTAGATTGGGTCCATCTGAATAATACAGGAGAAACGCCTCATCTCAAGGTTCTTAATCACATTTGCAAAGCCTCTTTTGCTGTGTAAGGTAACATTCACAGGTTCTGGGGATTAGGATGTAGAGATCTTTGGGGCCATTTATTCTGCTTACTCTTTGATTCTAGCCCTGGTGTCTTTGAACAAGTCATTCGTCTTCTTTTAAGCCAATCACGAATAAGCCAGGTGCTTTCCAAGACTCCCTTCCTGCTCTTTTATAATCTTCATCTCCTTGTCCTAGTAATGGGCATCCTCAGTTTCTGGGGAAATGACCTCCAACTTGTCAGAGTTAAGTTTAACCTTGGGATAATAATGTCCTTTTCTCCCCTGCTATTAACACCTTTGGTTGTTACTTCTCTTTATTTTTTCCATGTGGAACTACTGAATCTTCATACATACCCTTTCTCTATTCTCCGTGGGGGGAAAAAAAAATTTAAATTCATAAAATTCTTAGCCAGTAAAACACTCAGCATTCCTTTGGGTGAAAATGAACACAATACCTACCCTCACATAACACCGGTTCAGTCAGCTCTGAAACAAATGTTTAATGTATTCCTGC